CTTCACGGTGGACAGAAGAATCCCCCTCTTCTACATGTTGGCTGGACTTAGACACTCAGTGAATACAGTGTGAAAGATTTGGCACTGTGTGGAATTCAGGACAAAGCACAAAGGTGGCCTCGTTCTTACTTTCTTAGGTCACCTGAGGGAATCGGCTGTGTGTTTGAGGACTGACAAGCAGCCCCATGGAGAAGGCCACGTGGGGGTAAACTGAGGCCTCCTACCCACAGCTAGGAGATGAATAGTGAGCATCTAAGAAGACTTGGCCTAGGCTTGGGGGTGAGTGCATCCCAGCTGACCCTTTATTTGCAACTGCACCAGAGTCCTTGAGCCGCTAGCACTCAGGTAAGGCATGGACCCCCACCCCAGGGAAGGCGGGCTGGCCTCTGGGTGCTGTTTGGAACCATTTACTGCAGGAGATAACCAGTTCACAAGGAAGGGGTTAATTCGTGTTGATTCCTCCCAGGCTACCCTGTTTAACCTAGTGAGCCACCCTGGGACAGCGAGAGCTTGGCTTTGCTGCACAGAAGCCTTTGTTTCCTGAAGCCAGGGCTCTGCACAGAGTAGGAGGAAACGTGTGGGAGGGCTGGAGCCGAGCCATCGCTGGCCCTGCCAGCCTGTCCTTTTTCCTTGAGGTCCAGGACTGTTTGCCCTGGCAGCTCTGTTGGCAATCCTACCTGTACGCATCTGTCCTTCACCCTGCCTGCAGCCCAGGCTCCGAGCCCTCTGTGAAGCTCAGAGAGTCCTGGGCATTCAGCCCCAGCTTCGTCCTCCCCTCGCATGCTATACGAGATACCTTTCTCAGCTCTGTGACAAATGCCTCGCAGAAAGAGCTGAAGGGAAGCCAGATTACTTTTAGGCACAGTTTCAGAGGAGACAGTCCAGAGCTGTCTGGCCCCATGCACTTGGGCAGAACATCGCGGTGGTGGGGACATGCAGATGCAGCTGGTCCCCTCGTGGCAGTCAGGAAATGGGCAGGAAGGGACTGGGGACCAGGTGTCACTCTCAAAGGCATGCCTTGGGAACCTACTTTCTTCGGCGAGGCACCACGTTGCAAAGTTTCTACCCATCCCCAAAATAGCGCTGGGAACTAAGCATTCATTATACCCCGCCCCCCACTGCTTCTTCCCCTGTGTGCTCCGTTCCCTCAGTCACCCCGCAACCCCTCCCCCAACTTCTGTGCCTCCCTGCCTCTTGGCCCTTCTCTGCAGGGAACACTCACCATGAATGGGTTGTTGCCCCTCTGCCCCACCAACCCTGTGCACACCCTGGGAAGGACATGGCTGGCGTGTCGGGAATGCTTGTTTTCAAGCGAGGGGTTGGTGTACCCTCTCTTTGTTTCGTCTTCTTGTCAAGTTCGGTGGCTCTCAAATGTCACCATACCTAAGGATTCCTGTGTACAGCAATATGTACAGCCCGAGTTTTGGCACAGTTCTGAATTTATCGACACTTGAGTTAGGGGGAGTTTGGCTTCTGTGATTGGTTCCAATGCAATCCTTACGAGGATCCTACTACAGAAAACCATGTGGAAACAGAAATGGCCAATTCTGAGAAGATTTCTTTGGGAAGAAATTTCTTTGAGAAACCGTAGGACTATAGCTCTCTCTCTCTCTCTCTCTCTCTCTCTCTCTCTCTCTCTCTCTCTCTCTCTTCCTCCTTCCCCTTTCCCAGTCTTCCCTCTACCACCCCTCCCCCCATGAGTGCACGCATGGAGTGTATATGTGCACTTGTGATTAAGGTCCACTTGCCTGGTTGACTTCAGATGTCTTCCGCTTTCCACTTTATTAACATGGGGCCCCTCACTAGCCTGTACCTCATCATTTCAGCTAGACTGTCTGACCTCTAAGCAGGGAGAGCGTCCTGTCTCCAGAAGCTACCCTGTGGACAAAGCTGGGGTTCCAGGCATGCACCGCCATGCACAGTTTTTATGGGGGTGCTGTGGATCTGTCTCAAGTCTCGTGCCTCCACAGCAAGCATTCCTACCTACTGAGCCGTCTCCCTCTAGTCCTGGAGTTCTAAACAAAACTTTTATTATTGGCTCCTTTGATAATGTGACAGAAGCTCTGGACATTCTCTCTGATAATTCATGGCTGGGGGCTGGAGAGATGGCTCGCAGTTAGGAGCACTGATTGCTCTTCCAGAGGACCAGGTTTCGATTCCCAGCACCCTCATGGTTGTCTGTAACTCCAATCTCAGGGAATTCAATGCACTCTCTGGCCTCCTCAGACACCAGGCACACACATGGTACACAAATATACACGTAGGCAAAACACCTGTACACACTTTCTGTGTACCATTTGAAATGCCTACAGGAGTTCCAGGTTCAGAATTACTAATTCAGCATAAACCCATTTTACAAATAAGGATAACAAGGTCCAGAGAAGTTAGCTAGTCAAGTTCTCAGAACCTTTCAGTGCAGGACCTGGGACCAGAAGGCAGGGCCTTACTGTGGCATACGGACCCCTCCTTCAGTGGGGTTGGTCTGGCCTCTGCTGGATGATGATCACAATGCTCACAACTGCAGCCTTCAGGATTTCACCTAGATTTGGACAGTAAACAAGATCCTTGGTCTTTGGACTTTTATTACTCAGGGTTCAAGTGTCAGGAACACCAGGCCTCCCAGGCCCTCTGAGAGATGGCTTGGACCCTGAGTTTCTGGTTGCCCCATATGGAGATGCCAGGTAGGAGCTCCAGATGAGGTCTGTCTACCTGTAGGGCCTCACTGAGGAAGCAGGCCATTAGGGGTGGGTCTTGAGGTTGCTTAGCCTGGCCCCACTTCCTGTCTTCCCTCTGATTCCTGACTGCCAATCCCACTATCCTGCGGTTTGCCTCCTCACCCTCACCGTGATGGACTGTCTCCCTTCGAAGAAGCATGAGCCCAAACAAGCCCTTTCTCCTTGAAGTTGGTTCTTGTCAGGTCATGGGTCACGATGATGGGAATAGAAGGGCCCCTTAGGCTACTTGTACTCTTTTGAAAGTTAAAAGCAGAAAGTTTAAAGGTAAATTGCCTTAAACCACAAAGGGATTTATTAACAAGAATCCAAAGTTAAATTAAACTTCAGGAAGAGTTCAATTAAGGACACAGTTAAGTTTAGGAGACTTTTTCTCTCTTTTGTTCTTGAGCATAAGAATGTCTTGCTCCAGTCCCTGAGGAAGTCCTTCCCCTTCATTCTTATTGTACCCAACTCAGTCAGTCCCCTGTGGCAAGGGTGAGACTACACTGAGAGATGTGGACCAATCCCAGTCCATCCTAAACTGGGTGAGGCCAAATCCAGGGCCATCATGACAGTTACACATACGTGGTAGGAAAGTGACCCCAAGGATTATCTTATGGATTCTGAGGGACTGTGGCATTGTTCACAGAATTTTCACAAAGACTATTGTGTGGTTCACATCCTTTTTCCAGAGATTTCTTCCCAGTCATTTTGTAGGCACAGTCAAGATCTCTGAGTCCTGCCTGGACCTTATTCTTCATTTTCTTTCCTATCGCTATAGTAAACACCATGACCAAAGCCAACTTGAGGTGGAAAGGGTTCATTTCAGTGTATACTTACAGGTCATATTGCATCACTGAGGGAAGGAAGTCAGGGCAGAAGCCAAGCCGGAACTGAAACAGAAACCAAGGAGGGGCTCTGCTCACTGACTCATGCTTAGCTAGCTTTCTTACCCAGCTCAGGCCCGCCTGCCTAGGGATGGCGCTGCCCATGGTCGATTGGCAATCAAGACAATGCCTCCCACACACCAGTGCCCACGCGCCAATCTGGTCATGGTATTATGCAGCTGAGGTTCCCTCTACCTCGTTGACTCTGGGTTTTATCAAGCTACCAATAAAGACTAGCCAGGACAGACCTCTTCTGGGCTTGGAAAACTAGCACAGAAAGGTGCTGATTCTGTGTTTAGTAAGTTTCAGAAAGCCAGAGCAGGACGGATCCCCTAAAGCCATCCTTGCCTTTACAGCGATGCCCTGGCTGAGCTGCAATCCAGGTTCCAGGGGGAGGCAGTGCACTGGGGGCCAGTGCTGATCTGTGATAAAGCGAGCCACCACCGGTCTGAGCCTCGCTTTCCGACAAACTGAAATAAAAATGATGACAGAAGCGTTTACTTTCTAAGGGACAGTAGTGAGTACAGTGATTTAGTGACTTTAAATGGCAGAATTTCATCGACCACTGGGATTTCCAAGTCAGTTCAGGGTATTGACGTGACTGAGTCCTTCTCCAAGCACTGTGGGAGAATCCGAATCCCCACCTTTTCAGTTTATAGAGGCTGCATGCACCCCTTGACTCATGACACCTTCTTCATCACCGACGCCTGTCACTCCTGGTCATTTCCAGTCATGTCTCCGTCCTTCCTTTGGGTTTGCCCTCTTGCCTGCCTGTCACAGGGACTCTTGTGAGGACTCTGGCTGCACTTACTAATTAATCTCTATTTTCTTAAAACTTATTTTTTTTGTGTCTATGGATGTTTTGCCTGCATGTATGTCTGTGTACCATGTACACGCCTAGTGCCCTTCTTGGAGGCTAGAAAAAGGCTTCAGATCCCCTGGGACTGGAGTTAACAGACAGTTGTGAGGCACCAGGTGGGTGCTGGGAATATAACTCTGATCCTCTGGAAGAGCAGCCAGTGCTCTTAACTGCTGAGCCATCTTCTCCAGGCAACTGTTAGGGGGCTGAAATTCAGTCGCTTCTTCAACATCTCCTTTGCCATATGAGGTAGTGTGTTCACATATTCCCGAATCTGGTGGAGAGAGCTTTGAGAACAGGAGGCAGAAGAAAATACACTGTTGCGCTTCTTGCAGAATAATGTAAATGAATACAGAAGTACATAGCCTAATGCTGGGTACATAGGAAGCATTGTACAAATGTCATCACGGTCACAGTGGGGTCAAAAGGCCCCACGGGCCAGAGCCTGGCACTGTGTTGAACACTGAGGGTGTCACAGTGACGGAAACAGACGCAGCTTCCTGCCCTGTGTGGCTTGGCTGGTCTTTTCAGCACCACACTCAGAATCTCAAAGCTACACATGTACTGTGCTCGCTCCACGGATGCCTGGCCAGGCTTCGGATGGCTTTCCCCAGGTAACAAGCCACCCCATAGCCTACTGACGCCGCTCACGGCTGTTTCCTGTTTGCATCTTGGTTTTGTAAGTGGTTGATCTGGGTTCTTGGGTCTTGGTTGGGCTTGGCTGGTACATGCAGGCATCCCATTGCTTAGCTGGGACACAGGTTTGTAACGGGCTTTATTGGGGTGAACGAGGTTTCTCTCCAGATGGCTTCCCATCGCCCAACAGGCCAGCCCCGATGCTGTACTCTAACTCCATTGCTGCCTTCCATTGGTGGGCAGAAGTCCTGAGGTCACTGGTGATTCAGGGGTTAGAAAATACCTTTGTCTCTCGATGGGAGTCCTGTTGAGGTCTTCATGTGCTTCAGGGAAGAGAGAGGAGGCCAGGAGCTGCATCCTAGCAGCACAGTTGCCAGGGGGTGAGTCCACCCTGGACATTTGCCCAAGCTGCTTCCTGGTTCGTAGTGGCCTGTAGAGAATTGGCTGGAGTCCCTTCTCTTCTGCTGTGGGAGTCCCCGGGATCAACTCAGGTGTCAGGTTCGGCAGTGAGCACTTTTGCCAGCTGAGCCCTCTCTCCAGCCCTCTTGTTCTGAGACGAGGCCTCACGGAGCTCAGGCTGCCTTTGGACTCCTGATCCTCCTGCCTTCATCGCCCAAGGACTAAGAGGTCTGAGCCACCATGTCAGGCGTTTGGGTAGGTCACTTCTGGTGGTTGTTTCTATTTATCTGAAATTTCTCTAATTTCTGTTAGAAATCTAATTTGCTTTAGCAATCAGGCTTTTTTTTTTTAAAGTAATAATAAAGAAACCACCTACAACGGATTCTAATTGCTTCAACATTTAAAAACAAATGTCTACGTTACTTGACATGTTGCTAATGGTATTTGATGGAATTGGGACCTTCCCTTTTTTTCTCTGTAATTGTCCCAGGGCACTAATTTGCACACGAAGGTCCTGAACTCCTCATTTTGAGTTTATAAAATGTATTAATTAGTGCAAACTCCTTCCATTTGCTTCCCATCTCTCCTTTCTCTGGATGGAGAGCTCAAAGCTTTCTCCAGTGACATACCCGGGGGCAGTGACGCTGGCTTTTTTCTGCAAAGCTGTGATTTAATGTCTTGCTCTAGGTTCCTGTCAGAGGTCAAAATGCAGAGCCTTCAAAGACTACCTCTGCACCCCTATAAAACAACTAAATATGGCGTCTGTTTCTTGGTGTGTGGTCCTTTCTGAGTGAATTCCGTTTCCATGGTGCCAGGTGCACTTCCTGCCAGGAAACTGACCTAGGGACAGGGCCAGTTCTCTATATTCCTTCTTGCTGCTGCTGCTGCTGGGAGTTAAGCTTGTGATCTGAGAATGTGACTTCCTTTAACCAGTGTTTTAAGCACTTTCCTCGACGCTGTGAACAGATGACTGACAAGAAGCGAGTTAAGGGAGGAGAGAGCCAACATGGCTCACAGTCTGACCATACAGTCCATCCTGGTGTGACCTCAGGAGTAAGAGGTAGCTGGTCACATGGCATCCAAAGTCAGGAAACAGTGTTTGGCTCCCTTTCTCCTATTTATTCAGGGCAGGACCCCAGCCCACAGAGGATGCCACCCACATTCAGAGTGAGCTGTACCTCCTTAGTTAAACCTTTCTGAAAACATCTTCAAAGACACACCAGAAGATAGGATTGTGTGGTGGTTCTAAATCTCACTGTGCTGACAATCAAAATTAACCCATCACACTAAACATTCTTGACCTTGTTGAATAGCGCCTTCTATCTTGCTGAAGCTATAAACTCAGACTGCATCTTAGAATGTTCTATCTCCTCATGTTTATCAAATGGAGGACCTTAGCACATATTCGCTTAAAATATGAGGCCTCGATATGCTGTGTACTTTGCACTAGGCCCTTGAAGATGCAGACAGGCAGAGGCTTTTCCTGGACTCCCCCAGTCTCCCCTAGAAAGGATATTCCAAAAGGAACTCAGTTTCCACAAATCTCCCCAGGAACTCAACACAGGGGGACTCGTTTGATCAAGGCTGTGGCGGTTTAAATGAGAATGCTTCTCCTAGGCTCATATGTTTGAATACTCGGTCCTAAGTTGATAGAACTCTTTGGGAAGAATTAGGGTGTGGTGTTGTCGGAGGAGATGTGGTCCTGTTGGAGGAGGTGTGGCACTGGGGTCAGGCTTTGACATTTCAAAAGGCTAGCGCCTTTCCCAGTGTGCCTTCTCCATCATCTACCTGCTCTTTGAGATGTGAGCTCTCAGCTGTTTCTGCCTCATGCCTTCACGCCGCCAACATGAGCTCCGACCCTCTGAAACATATGCCCAACTGAACGCTTTCTTTTATAAGTTGCCTTGGTCATGGGATTTTGTCACAGCGATACAAAGGTTAACGCAAACAGAGGGAGGGGAGCCTGGAGTTGTCCCCTCACCTGGGCTCTGTCGCAGCTATCATCTCCTGGTTCATCATCCACTCATCCAGTTTTAGAAATCAGTTTCCTGCCCCCAAGTTGCTCGCCTCCTTTCCTCACCCTAGGAAGTGATGCATAAAAGCCCCCAGATGAGCGCAGTTGGTAAAGTAGTTGACTTGCAAGCATGGGGTCTGAGTTTAATCCCCAGAATCCATACGACCCTGGTTGCGGTGACGTAGATTTGTGATTCCAATGCTGGACTTGTGTGAGTTGAAAGCCCTTGGAGCTCGCTGGCCGGCCAGCCTAGTTTAATTGGCGATTTCCAAGACAAATTAGAGCCTGTCTAAAAAACTAAGGTGGCCATGGCTCCTAAGGAATGACACCCGGGCTTGACCTCTGACCTCTACACAAGCCCATGCGTGCACCGACACACAGTACCCACAAGAACTGGGGAGGGCCTTATAATAAGATCGTATTTGCAGCGAGGCTTTGAGGAGGTGAGGGCCAGCCATTCAGGTATCAGGATAAAAAGAACTGGGAGGCGGGACATTTAGCAAAGACCCTGAGGTGAGAATGCACTATGGCTGGAGTCGCCCAGCTGGAATGTGTGCTGGGAGCTGCAGAAGCAGCAGCAAGGAGGGTCTTGTTCACTGGCAGTCCGTGGGCAGGTCTTCTATTTATTTCAGCGCTGAGAATCAAACCCAAAGCCTTGCACATGCTAGGCTACATCCCCAGGTCTTCTCTCTCTCTCTCTCTCTCTCTCTCTCTCTCTCTCTCTCTCTCTCTCACACACACACACACACAAGTTTTTCCTGTATAGGTCAGGCCAGACCACAACTGGAGATCCTCCTGTATCTATCTTGAAAAGGCTGGGGTTCCAAGTTTGCACTCCTACACCTATTTGGCGAAGAGCTTTGAGCAGAGAGGAAAAGCACGGAGTCTAGCCAGCACATCTTGGTACAGAATAAGCATGGCAAACAGGTGGGACTCGGAGCAGGAGGTGGTTTTCCCAGGGGTCAGCAATGTGTCTGATATAGACAGGCAGGGCTCCCCTGGGGAATACAAGGTGCAGGCTCAGTGCACTGCCAAGAAGGCACGCCAGGGCCTTCATATAGCCAAGAGGGGCTCTTTCATGCATTTTAATGTGCACAGCATCAGGCATTGAGTGGAGTTTGCGGAAGAGAAAAACTCTTGGGACGATCGGAGAAAGAGACACCGTTGCCTTCTTGAGGCTTCGCAGCGATCACTGACGTACTGCGCGGTAACGGTGACCCTGAAGTCAGCTGCTCAGAAAGACTGCATGGGTGCCAACAAGCCCCTCACACCAGCAGGTCGGCAGGATGGTCAGCTCCATTCTGAGGCTCAAGTTAAACTCTGAAACCTTGGAATCCCATGCTGAGGCGCTCTGGTTAGAGTAACTGTGACAGTCGCAAGTCTTAGTTTCAAAAAGCCTGGGGCAAGGATGGGGTGGAGTGGGGACTGGGAAAATGTCTCAGTAAATTGTTTAGAGTGTGAACACAGGGACTTCCGTTTTGTCCCCAGAAATCAAGTGAAAAAGGAAGCCAGGTAAGGGGGCCCCCAGTTATAATGCTAATGTTGGGAATGCCTGAAGCCCTCTGGTCAACCTCTTACCCTACTTTGGTGAGCTCCAGGCCAGTGGGAAGCCCTGCCTCAAAAACAATATAGATGACACGTGAGGACCGACACCTAGGCTTGTCCTATGATCTCCATATGCATGAACACATGGCTGCTCTTGCACCCTCACATACGTTTACACCTGCACACACACACACACACACACACGCACACACACATACACACACACACACACACACACACACACACACGAGTAGGGAAGTGGCTCAGCAGGTGAAGGCACCTGCCACCAACTCAATGACATGGATTCAATCCCCTAAACCCACATAGTGGAGGGAGAGAACTAACCCCAGCAAGCTGTCCTCTGACCTGTGTCTCCATGACCTGAGTGTCATGGCATGGCTGTCTCACATACATATACACACAAAATAAATGAATAAAATAAAATAAAAATAGTCTTTGTTTAGCCAGGCAATGGTGGCGCAAACCTTTAATCCCAGCACCAGGGAGGCAGAGGCAGGCGGATCTCTGTGAGTTTGAGGCCAGCCTGGCCTAAAGAGTGAGTTCCAGGACAGCCAGGGCTATACAGAGAAAACCTGTCTCAAAAAAACCAAATGAATGAATGAATGAATGAATAAATAAATAAATAAAATGGTTTTAAAAAAGAAGAAGGAGAACAGTTGGGAGGCTGGTATGGAACTTGGCCTCATTGAGGATTTGGTGTGGCTGCGGTGGAAGATACAACAGATACAACAGGCTGGGCAGGGCCGATGTCTCAAGGGCCCATGAGAGAAACCAGCAGAGAAACCCATGTTCTGCAGTAGCCCAGGCAGTCTCTTGAGTTTAGCTCTTAGAGAATGGTGGGACTTGAGTTCTGGAAGAGAAAAGGGATGGAGACAAGACCAAAGCAAGAGCGGTGATGGGCATTGTGCCTATGAGACAGGCGGGGCTTGGAATCAGAGTCATGTGAATACTAGGAAGGATGACGGGAAATAGTGTCACCTAGACAGGATTGAGACTCTC